AAAGCGCAGTAGCCCAATCCAGTGCTCTTCCCGTTAGCAGAGAAATCATGAAATCCACCCTGCTACGGTCATCGGGAAACATTGTACGATTATACGACATATACAGGGACGTCTGGAGTAGAAACCCCTGACATTTGCCAGGTTCCCCGTCGTACCTTGTCGGTAGAGAAATCGGAGGTGTAGGACGAGGACTGACCGTGCTCGGGGTGGTGCCCTCAGCCGCACCAGCGTTGAGTAGCTGCAGGAGTTCATCCATCCATTTCTCCTGTATCTCCCATCGCCTCTGTAATTCCGCTGGATCCATGGTAATGGCGAGGTATTCTGTAATGAATACTCGGACAGAGTGGTAAGATCCAATCGCAGAATAGCGATGCTTTATTAGAGGACAGACAAGGGAATAGCTTAATCATTGGTCGGGCGGGCTGTGGTCAAAACCGGGCCAGGCATAGACAGGCAGAGGTACCAAGGGAGCGGGCTTAGTCGTAGTCGAGGGCACAGGCACAGGATCAGAGAACGGTAATCACTCGGGTAGACAAGCAGAGGATTAAGCAATACGGGGAGTCAAACAACAAGGCACAGGTCGGATACACGGGTAATCAAAAACAACAAACTCTCTCTCTCTCTCTCGGAACAAAACGCTTAGCAAGTCACAATGGAACAATACCTCGCGCCGACTGAACTTCTGAGCACACCTTAAATCCTACACTAATTACTGACAGGTGTGCTCAGAACTCAGGTGAACCAGATCGAGTCTGATGACTCCCCCTCTCTGTAGATCGGGGAAGTGTCAGACTCTGTCTAGACCCAGCCAACCCCCGATCCCTTACATAAAGCTTCTGAAACCCAGGCTTCAAATGGGGTATCATCTAAGCAGAGATGTTGTAAATTGTCTAAGATGTTGTAAACGCTCTGCTAATATAGTTTCCCACTCCGCTGTTCCTCCCGTGGATTCCCCGCTGACTTCACTGAGCCTGATGGAACAGCGATTTAGGCAGCTCTGGAATATCTGAACCAGGGATTCAGACAGATTCAGAAAGCTCGGATTGGGGATTAATCGTGTGTATCGAGAAAAAGCACTGCCTGTTTGGGTGAATGGAAGGATGCTTTCATTTGTAATATTTCTGGAGTCATAAAACGATGAGAGTTACAAAGCTGTAAGCCTTTCAGTGTAAGAAGTTAGTATACTGCGGGATGAGGAATGGGGAATACTGAGGGATGAGGAATGGGGAATACTGAGGGATGAAGAATGTGGAATACTGAGGGATGAGGAATACTTAAGGATGAAGAATGGGGAACACTGCGGGATGAGGAATGGGGAATACTGAGGGAAGAGGAATGGGGAATACTGAGGGATGAGGAATGGGGAATACTGAGGGATGAGGAATACTGAGGGATGAGGAATGGGGAATACTGAAGGAAGAGGAATGGGGAATACTGAGGGATGAGGAATGGGGAATACTGAGGGATGGGGAATGGTGAATACTGAGGGATGAGGAAAACTGAGGGATAAGGAATGGGGAATACTGAGGGAGAGGACTACTGAGGGATGAGGAATGGGGGATACTAAGGGATGAGGAATGGGGAATACTGAGGGATGAGGAATACTGAGGGATGAGGAATGGGGGATACTGAGGGATGAGGAATGGGGAATACTGAGGGATGAGGAATACTGAGGGATGAGGAATGGAGAATACTGAGGGATGAGGAATACTGAGGGATTAGGAATGCTGAGGGATGAGGAATGGGGAATACTGAGGGATGACGAACAGGGAATACTGAGTGATGAGGAATACTGTGGGATGAGGAATGGGGATTACTGAGGGATGAGGAATGGGGAATATTGAGGAATGGGGAATACTGAGGAATGAGGGCTGGTGAATACAGAGGGATGAGGAATATTGAGGGATGAGGAATGGGGAATGGGGAATATTGAGGGATGAGGAATGGGGAATACTGAGGAATGAGGAATAGGGAATAATGAGGAATGGGGAATTTTGAAGGATGAGGAATATTGAGCGATGAGGAATAGGGAATACTGAGTGATGAGGAATGGGGAATATTGAGGGATGAGGAATGGGGGAAACTGGGGAATTAGGAATGGGGAATATTGAGGGATGAGGAATGGGGAATACTTAGGGATGAGGAATGGGGAATGAGAAATTGGGAATATTGAGGAATGGGTAATATTAAGGGAAGAGAAATGGGGAATGCTGAGGAGTGATGAATGGGGACTATTGAGGGATGAGGAATGGGGAATATTGAGGGATGAGGAATGGGGAATACTGAGGAATGAGGAATAGGGAATAATGAGGAATGGGGAATTTTGAAGGATGAGGAATATTGAGCGATGAGGAATAGGGAATACTGAGTGATGAGGAATGGGGAATATTTAGGGATGAGGAATGGGGGAAACTGGGGAATTAGGAATGGGGAATATTGAGGGATGAGGAATGGGGAATACTTAGGGATGAGGAATGGGGAATGAGAAATTGGGAATATTGAGGAATGGGTAATATTAAGGGAAGAGAAATGGGGAATGCTGAGGAGTGATGAATGGGGACTATTGAGGGATGAGGAATGGGGAATATTGAGGGATGAGGATTGGGGAATATTGAGGGATGAGGAATGGGGAATATTGAGGGATGAGGAAAATTGAGGGATGAGGAATATTGAGGGATGGGGAATATTGAGGGATGAGGAATATTGAGGGATGAGGAATATTGAGGGATGAGGAATGGGGAATATTGAGGGATGAGGAATGGGGAATATTGAGGGATGAGGAATGGGGGATACTGAGGGATGAGGAATACTGAGGGATGAGGAATGGAGAATAATGAGGGATGAGGAATACTGTGGGATGAGGAATGGGGAATACTGTGGGATGAGGAATGGGGATTACTGATGGATGAGGAATGTTATATAGTTAGGCTATTGTAACAATGCATATGCCAGCATTGTAGTCCTACTGCCTCTGCCCAGAGGCCTACTAGGCTGTCATGGCAACGGCCGTTAGAGCTCACTTTGCCACATAGGAGCCCTGGTTAGAGTCCGTGTTACAGCTTTCACTTTCTTCTGCTACATTGGTGGCAGCGTTGGGATATCACGTCCAGCTCACGTCTAGTTATGTGATCTAGTGGTGGGAAGCGTTCTGTTTTTCAACATTGTGTTTGTTGAGTGTAATAACATTGATATATCTAGTGAACAATGGATAAGCAACAATGGGCGTGACGGATAGAAGTAGTCACTACAGGTGTGATCAAGCCTTACATCAAAGTTGCTTGAAGCTGAATGGAAAGTGCTATGCCCTGACCAGTTATTCAGAAGAAAATCCTCTGTGACTAGATATTTACATATGTTAACTTACCAGTGTGGACCCAAAACAAACACATTCTACACATTTACAAACGACCTGTTTAAAGTGTTATTACAACCATGGTATTCTTTTGTTACTGAAGCTTATATATCAAATAACCTGACAATGATCCACATCATATTGGTAGACATATAATGCAGCAAAACACAACTATCCTATTTTTGGGGGATGCAAACCAGTAATATGAATCACTGTTGATCCATCCTGTTCTGATCTAATGAGATGGATGTAGGATTTTCTTCGGCCTAGAATCGAGGCCTTTCCCCAGTCATGAAGGACGAAACTAGGCCCCTCTTGGATCTCATTGGCGAAGACTGAACTCAAGTTAGGAGTTATATGTCAGACTCTCCTATGTCACTATTCCCAACATCTTATATCCCATAGGTTGTAAATAAACCCTTTTTAAGCTGATGTAACTTGTATCATTATTGTAGTGCTGTGAAACCCATAGCCGAATGCCTTCAGACAGCATTTCTCACCATTTCTTCAGTGGAAATATAGAATATGTATAAAAATGCCAAATATACTGTACCAAAAGCTAAATCATGCAGAGATTTTCGACTATTTAACCATGTTAATCATTACTGAAACATGCAAACTACAAACACTTAACCCGTTAAAGATAATGAATACTAGATAAAATATTTTATTTCAAATAATTCATACAAAAGTCAAGAATTGGCCATAGCATGAGTACAAAAAAAGTGAGTGTGTGTATATTTGTGTAAGTGTTTGTGTGCATGTGTGTGTATTATGGTGTGTATTATACATTTCCCATCATAAAAATGTATCCCCATTCCCAAATCAAATACCTTCATCAATACCCCTCCCCCCCAAAAAATCTGGCAACCTTCATAAAATTCGACATAGCCTTGTATAAAATGTATTATGAAAGAAATGGTGTAATGTACACGAAAAAGTGGAGCCTTGTATTAAATGCATTATGATGAAAATTGTAGGCTGCACGAAATATGAAATGCGTTATGAAGAAAATTGTGTAGGCCTACTGTTGCCTACAGAATAAAAAGGCCTTTCTGACTACAGGTCACCAGTAGCACAAAGTATTAAGCGAAAACAAGCATAGAAAACAGTATTGGCATTAATATTTTTTTAAACAACACAAGGCTACTGTTATATTATAATTATTTTGGTGACAACCTGGTTGATTAACAATATTGGGTTGGTAACACGTTTAAAAATATCTATATATATAAATAAATGTGGGACACAAAAAAAAAGCTGTGTTGAACACCAGTGCCCATCATGCTATTGCTATAATAACTTTCAAAAGATTTTTCAGAAGTTTGCCCCCAAATAAATGTTTTTTCAATGAATTAAGTCACACAAAAAAAAAGTGTATTTTCACATTAATTAAGCTACGCACAAAAACGCACGAAATCTGCTGAAATACTTTTTCGTACATATTTGCACCAATTGAGTGTGAGATTGTGTTGTGTATGTATATATGTATGTATGTATATTTTTTTTACTGCTCTATGGATATAACTATTGTTCGGATAACCTTATTTACTATTATGTATAAAAAATAAAAAAATAAAGGTTTTACTCTTTATGCGATGCGCACTGCAGAGAACACTGGAAGAAGAATGATCACTGAATGATCCCAGTGAATTATTGTAAATGTTTGTTTATGTGTCAATGAATCCCATGGCGATTTGGCCCGAAAATAAAATATGTCACCAACAGAGAGATAAAGAACTATTATACAAACAGTCAACACTTTTCATCACATTGTAAGTGTTTATTTAGCTGTTTTTAAATCGGATGAGAACGTCTGAACTGAAGTCTCAAAGAAACCTCCGAAACATAAAGCTGCAGGCTAGATAACGACTAATGTCTGAATATGTTTTCAGTGAAGAGATGATCATTAACAAACTAAAATATCAAACGTACGCAGGATAAGCACTTGGATGAAACTCTACAATTTATACCAGTCTCCTAACTTTAAAGCCATGCCTGAGATGCGTTCAGGAGGATACAACCTACCAAACGTTGCAGATAGAAAAGCCATACATTTCTTTATGAATGTTGCACAACGTTGTGCCCTACTGAACGAGGCCCTGGCTCTATCCTAGTCTGGTTTACACAGTCGTGTAGCGAGATGGACCAGGGCAGGAGCGGAAGGGAGAGGGTGAGCTGGGGAACTCAGCCAGAAAGACAGGGGTGTGAGGGGGCTTGGCTGTCACCAGGGCCTGCCTCCGTCTGCGCAGGGGCCGGTAACGGAAGCTGAAGGGCGGCCGAGCCACACCTGCCCCCAGCTCCTCGGAGGACGAGTCTGGAACTCCTGGAGAGACTGGAGTCTCCTGAGACTCCAAAGATTCGCTGGAGGACGAAGGGTTGGGGTTGGGGATAGGGGGGTTGGGGGAGATAAATGTAGGGTTGACCAGGACATTGGGGTCAAAGGGTTGTGGTTGGGGCTCCTCCAGAAGAGGAGGGGGTGCTGTGGGGTAGGAGGGGATGATAATGGGGACTTTGGGAACAAAGATGGGGACTTCAGGCATCGTTGGGGGTCGAGGAGGGGTCATGTCATGGAAAACATCAATGCCCTAGAGAAGAAGGTAAAATACAATAAAACAACACAACACAATACAACAATATATCACAACAATACAACACAACAATACAACACAACACAACAATACAACACAACAAAACAACACACAATCCAGCACAACCATACAACACAACAATACAATACAACAGAGTACAACACAACACAACAATACAACACAGTACAACACAACAATACAACACAACAATTCAACACAGTACAACACAACAATACAACACAACAATAAAAAACAAGAGTAATAGAACACAACAACACAACAATAATACAACACAACAATACAACACAACACAGTACAACACAACAACACAACACAACAATACAACATAGTAATACAACACAGTACAACACAACAATACAACAAAGTACAACACAACAATACAACACAGTACAACACAACAATAAAACACAGTACAAAACAATACAGTACAACACAACACAACAATACAACACAGTACAACACAACAATTCAACACAGTACAACACAACAATACAACACAGTACAAAACAACACAACAATACAATACAACACAGTACAACACAACACAATAATACAACACGTACAACACAACAATACAACACAACAATTCAACACATTACAACACAACAATACAACACAGCAATAGAACACAACAACACAACACAATAATACAACACAACAATACAACACAGTAATAGAACACAACAACACAACACAACAATCACACAATAATAAACACAACAATACAACAACAACACAACAATACAACATAGTAATACAACACAGTACAACACAAAAATACAACACAACACAACAAACAACACAACACAACAATACAACATAGTAATACAACACAGTACAACACAACAATACAACACAACAAAACAACACAACAATACAACACAGTAATACAAAAATACCAAAAACAACCAACAACACAACAATACAACAACATACAAACACACACAACAAAACAAAAACAACAACAAAAAACATACAACACGTAATACAACACAGTAACAAAACACAAACACATCACAACACAACAACAACAAACAACAAAACAAACACATACAACAAAAACACACACAATACAACACAGAATACAACACAGTAACCAACACAACACAATACAACAAACAGCACAACAAAACAACAATAACACACAGTACAACCCAATACATAACAAACAAACAACAACACAAACAACAATACAACACAGTACAACACAACATACACCAACAATACAACACAGTAATACAACACAGTACAACACAACAATACAACAACACAGTACAACAACAAACAACCAACACATACAACACACAATACACATCCACCACAATACAACAAAACACACAGTAACACAACACAAGTACAACACAACACAACACACACACACAACACCAACAATACAACACAACAACACAAAACAAAACAACACATAAAACAACAACAACAATAACAACAAAACAACAAACAACAGTACAATAAAACACAACACACAGTACACACACAACAAACAACACACAACAATACAACCAACAAACAACATACACACAACACAAAACAACATAGTAAACAACCAACACAACAATAAACAACACAACAACACAAACTCAACACAACAAACAACACAACAACACAGTAAACACAAACAACCAACCAAACACCTACAACACAACAAACAACACACAAACACACAGTACATACAACAAAACAAACCCCAACACATAATACAACAACCAACAATACAACACAGACATAACAAACAACACAGCAACACAACACAAACAACACAAAAATACAACACAGTACAACACAACAATACAACACAACAACACAACACAGTAATACAACACAACAATACAACACAGTACAACACAACAACAACACAACACAACAATACAACATAGTAATACAACACAGTACACCAACAGTACAACACACAATCAATACAACAACAAGTACAACACATACAATACAACACATACAAACAAACACATACACCATCACACATACAACAAGTACAACACATACACACAACAATAAAACACAGTCACATACAACAATCATACAACAGTGAATAAACACACACCACAACCAACACATACAAACAACATACACACCACACACAACAAGTACAACATCAACAAAACAACCATTTATATAACAATACAACAGTACACAGTAAACACAACTACAAACGTAAAAAACAAACCAAACAAACAAAAACATCAACACATAAACCAACATCAACACGAAAATACAAACATACAAACAAAATAAACAAACAAACACACAACAAACAACAAACAATCAAACCAAAAAAAATAAAACACAGTACAAATGCAACGCAATAAAACTCCCATCAGGCAATTTTAGAAAGGATTTATAATATAGGATTCATCATGGGTCCAGTCAAACTGAGATTTCACTAAGATGTATTGCAGTTTAGGTTTGGACACCGTTTGTCTCTGCTCTCATTGAGTTGTATGTCTGCTGTTGTTTACAGCTCTTGTGACTGGTGCTCTGTCTCATTCCCAGAACTGAACAGATAAGCAAAGCCCAAGCCCAAACAAACAAAGACATCATGTAGGCGTATTGACAATACCTGTGGGTGGAATATTTCACAAGAGACATCCACGTCTGGCTGGCCGATAGCTCCGTACACAGCCCCCTTACAAAACCCAGCTGGCTGCAAGGGAAAGGTTGTAACTCAGAGTAACTGAATTTCACATTTTATAGACTATGGGGAAACAACACAATGGTTTGCAGTGGTATGGCATTTTATTTCATCTCCTCGATTCCATCCCCTCCACTTTTGGCAAGGCACTGTGATATAAAATGTTGCCATGGGTTCTGGCACTTACGTACGTCTCCGCTCTTGTCTGTTGGCACACACATGCCCACATAGCCCTCGCGACACTCCTGCACGGTGTACTCGACTAAGGTGGCCGGCATGGGCCCACTCTGGGGGAACATAGACAATGACAGAAAAGATCCGCTCATGGGAAAAGCCTACCGTTAACATGTCTACTGCTCTCACTATATGAGATGCCTTGTGTACACGTTTAATCATCAAATACAAATCAATCAATCTATAAGAGCAAGTTAGCAGCCTGGCTAGCTACCTGTGCGGAGGCCCTGGTGAGGTTCTGCAGAGCCAGGCTGGAGGGCAGGGTGCTCTGCGTGTTGAACTTGTGGAGGGTCAGCCCAGCGGCGTGCACCGCCTGGGGGCTGTCTACAGGCAGCAGCAAGGGGCAGGCTGGACATGTCTGCTGCAGCTTCTCTGGAGGGTCTGCAGGGGGAGAGGGGAGAGGGGAGAGGGGAGAGGAGAGAGGGGGGGATTAGGTCCATTCCAGGTACATATTCTGCAAAGGCCTGCACAGAAGATCAGATCTTTGTGACACCTGAAGAAGGGTTTTAAAGTGTCTCGGGTGCACCCATTGAGGTCAAGTGCTGGGGTTGCCTATCTAGGTATGTAGAAAAGTGAGAGTACAGTAGAGATACAGTACCAGGCGCCAGTGTGCAGTCATAGCTGTAAAGGTAGGAGTATCCCTCGGCTGTGTGGAGAATGGTGGTGTTGCAGTTCCCAGAGATTTGCTGCAAGGGGAAACAATGTCATCATCAATCAAATCATTATTGCTTGGACTCTATTAAATGCATCCAATCTCAGGGAAAACTCAGTCCAGTAGTTCTGGAGTATATTAAAACTATATTAAAAACTAGCACAGAGACCAATTTCACCAACTTTCTATACTGAATTCTGCACGCTGAATGGTGAGGTCATTGTCTACGGACGGCCATGACAGTGTTTCTCGGGTCACGCCTCTACTGTACCACAGTATGTTATTAGTAACACGTCCAGTGCCGTTGGCGACATTTTACATTTTAGTCATTTAGCAGACGCTCTTATCCAGAGCAACTTACAGTTAGTGAGTGCATACATTATTTATTTTTTATACTGGCCCCCCGTGGGAATCAAACCCACAACCCTGGCGTTGCAAACGCCATGCTCTACCAACTGAGCTACACCCCTGCCGGCCATTCCCTCCCCTACCCTGGACGACGCTGGGCCAATTGTGCGCCGCCCCATGGGTCTCCCGGTCGCGGCCAGTTACGACAGAGCCTGGATTCGAACCAGGATCTCTAGTGGCACAGCTAGCACTGCGCTGCAGTGCCTTAGACCACTGCGCCACTCGGGGACCTCAAGGCAAGAGGAGAGTGAAACAGAGGCGGTGAAAACTGCTGTGTGTTTATTAGGACAAAACAGGAACTTAAAGTCACTGATTCAGGTCCAGGAGTAGTAACTGTAGTGTACATCTGGGCACAATGGACGTGCTGGTGGGACTGTGAAATGGGGAAGAAAAACTACCGCTGCTGCTGTGTGTGTGTGTGTGTGTGTGTGTGTGTGTGTGTGTGTGTGTGTGTGTGTGTGTGTGTGTGTGTGTGTGTGTGTGTGTGTGTGTGTGTGTATGATAAACATAATTAATTTCTGTATCAGGGTGACATACTGTTTCCATGAAGGGCCTGACGTCACATCGTTTCCAGGGTTTGGGGCTCCAGACATGACACTTGGTCTCCAACACGTCGAGAAGGAGGTAGTAGACGTTTCCAGCTGGACCCTGAGAGACAAACATTAAAGATGGAGGAAAATATCAGACTCACAACATGAGCCTGTGTTTTCCCTTCTTGGCCAGACTGAGAATGTTAAACGACCAACATTAGATTTCCCTTCTATTCAGAATGGGTTTGCCAGTCTCTTACTCATTAGATAAAGAGCATACCATAGTGGCTAAATGCCAGGTGTGTGTGTGTGTGTGTGTGTGTGTGTGTGTGTGTGTGTGTGTGTGTGTCATTTCAAGATAAGCCCATTATTAATCCTGCTCTCATGATACCACTATCCCAAGAGCTGATACACGAGAATCTGATCTAATTTTGACGTTACAACAGGTCTGCATCTCGTCACATAATATTAAAAGAATGCATACAGTACACCAGACACTTATGCCAATGCTCAATTAGCCTGGGGGACAAGGCATACGTAGGCCCGACACAAACGAACACTCATTAGGCTAGTAGTTGATTTTCTTAAACGTAAATTCCCGAGTTTAAAATAAATTGACAGCAACATTCTTTGATAATAGACAGGAAACTGACCTGAGCGTGAAGATGAACGTTGGATATTCTATTGAGGGCAAATTTATACCCCATGGTTCTGTCTTCATTGATGTAGGTGAGCGCCAATTTGGAAAGCTTCTCCACAGCTTTGTCGTTGCAAGGTGTGGGCGATAACTCGATAATCTGTGCCCAGGCGCACAAAATATAAGTTAACAGTAAAATCCAGGTACATTTTCCCATTTTAATTGTTTTAATAAACTTTTTGTCGGCAAAGTGGAAAAATGTCAAGTGGAAAAAGATACCTTGTTCTCCTCCTACCACATCTGTTTACTTTGTGGCAGTGACTTTTGGAATCCAAAAGAAAACAGAGATTTTGAAACGGAGCCAAGAAAGAAAGTTTATTTTATTTTATTGTTTTAACAAAACAAAAACAAAAACATGTTTCTTGAATAATTGTATCTGTCAAACCCGCTAATTGACGGAAGATCTAGGCCCTACTACTAGCCTACAACTGCCTTTATGCATTTTCACATGTGATTTTCTACAATATACATAATATTATATGACAGAATATCCGAACGATTTGGGTCTAAAATGTAACCTAAACCACATCGACCACATGGTCAAAGTCTCCCAATGAAAAAGTGGTGACGTTGACTGACACAGTCCAAATTATGATCTGAATATACAGCCGATCTGAACAGTAGTGCGCGATTTGCGTCTTGGTAGATTGCAGTTTGTCCTTTCACCAACAGGCGGCAATGTTGGCCTAATCATTCCCTGGAGTGCCATGGAGCGCTTGAATGAAACAGGATTGGAATTTGAACGTGGAACGTGCCTTTAATAATACCATAACAGAATATAATATAAATATGGATGCGGACTTTTAAACTTCTATTGCCTTTAGCTCGTGCAGAGCTTTAATCACCTGAGGGGTATACTACAAAGCAGAATCAGTTAGTTAGCCAGCTAACTTTGATAAACAACTAGAAATAACTATTGATTTTCTGGTTCATAATGAAAGCTAAACGTAGATATGTGCTTTGGTTGTTGAGTCAATAAACAACTAGAAATAACTATTGATTTTCTGGTTGTTGCGTCAATAAGGCCTTGCCCATTTGAAGCGTATCTTACTAAAGAATAAAACGTTATTTAAGAAGATTTAGTCAATTTAGCTGGCTAACTAATTGATCCTGCTCTGGTTGGTGATGACTATGATGACCACCAGGTCTTACAGAGATCTGTTATTTGATGGTGGAGGCCTAAAGATTGAAGTAGAAGGCCTAAAGATGTTTATTTTCCTCTTCCTGTGGAAGGAATTCCATTTGGAAACTCTTATGGAACTGTGGAACCTGTATCTTGTCTTCTAAGAGGGCTTTATTTTCATTATGTTTATCTGTAGTGAATCAAACATTTGGAATAATCTGAGAGGTGTTTACACCTCATCCCAGAGATAGTATAACATGAGCTGTTTTGATGGAGGGTTCAATCTCTCTTGACAGGTCTTGGAAAACCTTATTCCAATTGCGTTGGATTTCGCTCTCTATTGCTTAGTTGTTGTTCATCCAACTGAGCAAACATAACTGATATTTTCAGATATTCAGAGTACCGAGAGACTAGAGTCGGCTTCAAGTGTCTTGTTTTAATGCTGTTGAATAGTGATCCACTTCATAATAGTGCTCCAAAAGCGATACAGTATCTCTATAACTGCTATAATCTCTAAACAATCAGTGTTGTCCCAACACATTACCTTCACATCAGTGCTTGTCCTCAAACAGCATAACAACCAAGGATATAGAAGAACATGCTCCGCTGCTTACCTTCTGAGCATCCTGAGAATCACAGGAGCCATGTCATAAAATAATGTGAAAAAGGGTGCAAAGATACATCAATTGAGGCCCAGTAGAACAGTGGTTCTCAACATAAAGTAGAACAATGGTTCTCAATGTACAGTAGAATAATGGTTCTCAACGTACAGTAGAACAATGGTTCTCAAAGTACAGTAGAACAGTGGTTCTCAACATACAGTAGAACAATGGTTCTCAACGCACAGTAGAACAGTGGTTCTCAACGTACAGTAGAACAGTGGTTCTCAACGTACAGTAGAACAATGTTTCTCAACGCACAGTAGAACAATGCCCGGAGTACCCTTGAAGTACCCCTTCATGTGCATTTTACCAGTAGGCCTATGGTCTATTGAGTCTTCTCAAGTACCCCCTGTGGATCACCCACAGAGAACCACTGCATCACCCACAGAGAACCACTGCATCACCCACAGAGAACCACTGCATCACCCACAGAGAACCACTGCATCACCCACAGAGAACCACTGCATCACCCACAGAGAACCACTGCATCACCCACAGAGAACCACTGCATCACCCACAGAGAACCACTGCATTAGAGGACTATTGACTGTGTTTTGGCTCATAGTGTCAAACTGATGCAGTGACCTATAGTATATTCCTAGTATTGTTTTCATTATGTTCTAATAATTTACATTCATATGTTTGTTTCAAAATTGTCACAAGATGTAAAGTACATCTGTTTTGAGTGTTTCTTAGACAAAGACTGTTCAGTTTGGGGACAAAGGAATCAGGAAGACTGACATATCCCCAGCAAATTAGATGTGAATAGCTAAAGCTACTGGGGTAAATGTATGAATAGCAGGAATAGACAGGGACCACATCTGAAGCTGGCCATCTTAGTTAAGCCTTCACATCTGATTTAGACCCAAGCCTGAAGGACAAATCCCACTGTCAGAAACGCTATGATATACCAACAAAAAATTCCAATTGCAAATCAAATTCGAAAGATTTCAGCTGAGGTAAAGAGCTTAAATATATGACTTTTAACTTGTCAATTTGGCTCTGCCAGAAATGTTGACTAGCTCCCTCCGTCCTCACATGCTGACAGATCAGGAACATTTGGTTTTAATCAAAGAGGGGAATTGGACAGACTATACGTGTTTCTGATATGGGCAGTCTGTGTGTGCTTGTGAGTGTTTTGTTTTACTACTGGTTTATTCACAAACTTGAGCAGGATGTTTCTTTAAAATATGAAACTATTCTGTTTGGTGGTCACTGTGATGGCCAGCAATATGTGTGTGCCCTGTTGATCTTGCATCACCTCAAAAGGCCTTGCCTTCAACCAGTCATTGAAGATAGTCCTAATTAAATGTAAACATAAACAGAGGTTTTGGTGGTGTGTAGTGTTTAGTTAATGGTTGAGATGGGATGGGAAAGGGAAACAGCAATTTCAACATGACCTTAGTAATGACCGTATGACACTGTGTAGGAGTCTTATCTTCATTTCTTGAGGATATTGTTGCATGAAAAAGTGCATTATGTTTGGTTCAGGACTCAGGAGACTATAGAAACATACAGGAAATGCATGTGTTACCAAGGAATTACCGCTATCTATTAGCTAAAACAAAGAGCTTTGAGAATGCAAAGAGAATGTCTCTGGCATTTCCTGCAAATGACTTGTCGAGCAACAACTCCCAGTGGATCTCTCTCCCTCTCCTTGAGATTCTTATATTCTATAAAAGCTGCCTTATTTACATAACCTTGCCCTTTGACAGGATTTTGATAGATTCATAAGCGCTGGTATGTTTCAGCTGGTACAACTCAACTTAGATCGGCCTGTGTGCTGATGGTAGAGTATCTAAGAGCTCGATCTCTGATCCAGGGAGCTTTCCGGAGTTCAGACCTCTCTCTCTCTCTCTCCACGTCTCTCATCGACAAGAGAGAGCCTCTCTCTCTCGTTCTCATCGAGCCTCGAGACTCCTCTTCTCTCCTCTCCTCCCTCTCTCTTCTCTCTTGTCTTCTCTCTCTCTCCTCTCTCTCTCTTCATATCTCTCTCTCCTTCCCAGGGGATCAGCAGACTGAGGTAAGCATTATTATTTCACCCTCATTTCTGTAACCTAATAACGCTTTCATTTATATACTATAGAAGTTCAACAAGTGATTACACATATTTTGTGCAAATCACTCTGAACACGTACGTCTCATAACCCCAAATCGGGTTAAAAGCCCTCCTGCTGCCATTGGGAGAAGGCATGCCAGGAGTCAATGCTTTTCACATTCTCTCTTTCTTTCTCTCTACTTTTATTTGGAGAGATCATCCAGCTCTTTCCCGTCCACCTGGAAAATTGCACACAGACCCTGGGACAATTACGATTTGGACCTTTATAAGGGTACATTGAAATTCCCAGAACATTGCTGTAATTCTAGCATGAACCAGGTGTTGCTTGCTTGAGACCTAGACCTCCCATATTAGAACACTTAAGATCTGAAGTTTGTTCAGTGTCAGATGGATTTTTCCAAATATCACTGAGGTTATGGCTGTGATTAATGTCCACATGGAACAGATCTTGAACCTAAATCAAACCTAAATGTAATAGTGTGTTAATGTGATCACATAGGTTCATATGTGTGCAACCAGGATAAATAACTATAAAAGGCTATACCACAAAACATAGTTAATAAAATAGCTACAACTTGATAAATGGATAGCAATAAATTAGAATTCTGTCATATAAAATTCAAAGATAGGCCTACCCTTTGTGTCTTGTGTTTTTAGAAGGAATAGTTGAGAAAATCAAATCTTATTTTAAATATAAACTTTCTTGTCTTCAATATTTTTGTTTAATTAAACTAGGAAACCCAAACTTGCTAAAAAAAAAAAAAAACTAGGTGTTCTCCGTCATTAACTTTCTATAATTAGCACCTCAACAGGTTTTGCTCATTACACTGACTAATAAATGGCAAGACAGTGGATATGGAAAAGTACATGTTGTAGTGCGTTTAATTATATCCAAACCCCAATTGAATAATTTAGGCTAAATTGCGCTAATCTCCTTGATACTGTGTTAGAACTCCAAAAGAGCCTAGATGTGTCCATCTGCTCGTCTCGACAGGACTCAAAGTGATGAGGTGCCACACGGGCAACGTTGGTGGGTGGGAGTGTCTGGCGTGACATCTCCTGCGGACAGCTAGCAGGAATCTCTCCATTCCAAAGCTGACTCTCAAAGTCAACTACAGGAATTGACACGGGCTGAGTAGAACTTAAAAACAAAATCTGTTGTAGAGAAATTGATCTTATTTGGACTGTTTTCAGCCAACAGAATGACATTGTGGCGGGTTACCGTGGTCTTTATGTGCTGTTTGATCGCGTTGAGCTCTGCGCGCAGGACTGTTGCTGAAGACGCGGCGGTTTTGGAGAAAATTAACAGCGCGAGATGCACTTCGCGCTGCCTCACTCTGCACATGGCACAACTCACAGCATCTTTTAAACATCTTCAGGTAAAAATCATTACATTTGATTAAAACCGTTAATGCGGCCGAATTTCACACACACACACTGTGATGTTTGAAAGTATGAACCTGCGCTCACGTTGTGCTTATTTAGTGTTGTTCATGGTATTTCGTTTTATTCAGTGTGGTAGGCTATGTCTGAATGAAAATAAGCAATACATGCACAATACACGAAACTGAGTAGCATGTGCATAATATGTGGGTAACATGCATTTTAACGTTAGTATTTAGGCTGAAGTCAAGCTGTTCAA